TTTATTAAAACTAAGCTAGCATAGTTAATTTAAAAAGATTGTTTGATATAGCCTACAGTAATGTCAGCAACTTTCGCCAATCATCGACCACTACTTTGGTAACCTTACCATGGCGCTCAATGCAAATGACAAATGTACGACTACAGAAGTTCCTTTAACTGTTTTATTGCTTCTGAGGCGCAGCCGTTGATGTTTACCGTATTTTGTGTTGTTAGTGAACAACTTAAACAAATGGACAAGTCGACGATGCCAACAATTTCGCGATAGCTCAACAAATCGCTCCGAGTGACTAAATGGCGCGGACGCAAAAAAATGTTGTGAAGAGTGCACCGCTAGATATTCAATTGAAATAAACGACAAAGAAACACACGCGGTTATCTAACGCTACGATGAGCAACGTATGCGCAATTATCGAAAAATTTCGTTACGTCTCTTATCGTTATTGGACGACGATTTTTGAAAAAACGAAAAGAGCTGATTGAAAATTACAGGCGAAAAAAAAAAAATAGGTTCTACTAATGTTTGCCTATCGTTTTGGTTACTGCTTATGGCTTACTAACGATCGTGCAGGCAACAAATAGTGTCTTTGCAATTTGCTTCCATTCGTTTGACGGCTATCTCTTAGCCAGACGTGACAGATATAACGAAAATACCTGGGATCCCTTAAAAGAAGTTCGTGCTGTCAAGATAAAATTCCTCACAAAAGGCCGGCTGACTCAACCTGAATTTAAGGTGGCGCGGACACAACAGTTTAACGGAAGAGATTTATTCGATATGATGAAAACCATCCAATTGCGGTTTGTTGAGCTTTTCTTTGTACATTCATGATTTACATCGTAACGACGTATGGTCTATGGAACGAGGGAGCCAGACCGGCCAATTGTATCCCATCCGATGTTTTAAATGCGCCGAATCGTTCGTCGATGGTGCAGTGACAAAGAGTGTGGTGCTATAATTTCACTAATAAATTGTACTTTACTTAGAGCATGTTTGTAAAGAAGCTCATTATGAAAAGGATTAGAAGAATAAGAAACTGAGTGGAAAGTATCAGCCCGGCGAGCCACGATCCGTTTGGTAGACATTTCCGTATTCATAACAGATACTTAGAAAGCATTCTTCTATGGGTGAAATTAGGAACAATACAGGAAAAACGAGACACCGTCTGTAAACCTTTCAATAAAAGCGACCTAAGGTTTCGCATAGATTTCGGGCATAGTATGTACAGGATGATCATCTGAAGGCCTTGCCCTTCACTTACAGTAGCATAGCAAACATAAATAGACCCACATAATTCTCGACATCCTATAAACTATCTACTAGAAAAAAATACAAGTCACTGCGAAGCTCATTGTAGACACTACAACCGCAGTGAAAACGAAATAAGCTGAATAATGATATAACCAGCACTCTTCTAAGGTGAGCCATTGAAGGTATTGCACAATACTTGAATATATCTATTTCTAACGATTCTTGAGGCCAAGTAACAGCACGAACTTCGTACAAGCTGTGAAAGTACGAGGCATCGTATGCGCCATACATTTTCGGCGTTTGTTTTAAAAAGACAAATGTCATTCAATACTGTTAATGCAACCTGTATAAAATCAATTGCTTTTTGGCAAGAAACTATCGAACAGTTACAAGCTTCAAGGGACAGTTCCTGCACAAAGGACGTAGGTGCTGTTCCCTTAGCATGTGTCTTGCTACCCGGTATCATAGTGATGAGATCTCGTACAAATATTCTAAGTTAATTGCATGAAGCGTGCTACTGACCAAACGATGACAGGCAAAAACGTACGAGCTATTCATAGCATCTGATTTGCGAATTGTTTGATAGACAGTAAAATCATGACTTTCTATAGAACAATATCACTATACAAGACAGAACGTTGTTAGCCAACAATCGTGAAAAAAAACTACATCGATATTGCGAAGCTGCGAAGTCGAATGCGTCTCTCACCACAAGAGAAACTAGCGGTGCCGTCAGTGAGTCAGCCAAATACTAAATACCTAAGACACAAAACTGGTAATTAGAGAAATAATTGGTAAATTACTACAATGAGTAACACAAACTTGACGGCTTAGCCTGAAACCCTAGCCTATAAACCTCTGCGGGTATAGCCAGACAAGTAAACCTAGTGATCAGTACCATCAGTGATTCTCTCGTGTACAATATTACTCCTGCGAACTTCATTCGTGTTCAAAGATCTTGTGAAACACTAGCCAAAAAGACTGCGCTTATAACGTTGTTTCTGCCTTTCGTAACTAGCCCAACATAAACTTTCCATGTTGACATTATTGATTAAAACATTCACAATGAAAAAAAGTCATCATCGCACATTGTTCTTACGTCATCGACCCGTACATAACGATAAGAAACATTCGGATTAATCCATATACTTCGACGCTTATCAAATAACTTTTCTACTGGGTTGACTGAAACCATAGTTATAGCTATTGGTAGTAATTTTGGTCAACCACGGGTTCTCGGCACTAACTCAACTCATCTCTCAAAGAGCCGCTAAAAACCCAAACATTTAAACATAGTATTTGATGGGACGCATTACTAAACTGATTATATATGCGAAACGTATAAAGGATACGTACACCTGCGAAATATCATAGACAAACGCTAATAATAACAACGCTCTTAACATTTCATTAATAAAACTTAGTGTCCATTTAGGGTTAAAAGTTTTAAAACGTGTCGTGGGTTTTTTGCACTTTTACAAAGTCTGCAGATCCAGAACTGGGTTCCTTAATCTTACTTTATGTCTCGGCCTACAGATGTCCCGGAAGAAATTTTAACCCACAAGAGATCGGGTCGCTGGTGCAAATGTGCCTTCTATAATCGTCTAGTTAAAGTGGAAACCTGCGTATTATTCTTGTTGCGCACTTCAAGACATTTTAAATGTACCAGAAATGGAAAAGTTGTTAAAATAAGCACTGTTATATTTGACCAGCGTGGACAGCCTTGCAGCTTTACCCTGTGTTTGTTCAAAATGATCCTCACCGTACCATAAGCGACTGACCTTTTGCAGAGCCAGTTTTTTTCTTGCAAGATTGAAGTAGTATGTATATATATATACATTAGGACTTGTTGTAGTTGCTCTTAATTAGTAGACAAAAGATGCGTTTGAATGTTTAAACGTATTCAGCGAACGTACTCGGCGATCCAAGACAGGTACATTGTTTCGCTTAATTATTGGCGTTGTTATTATAAATCAAAGTAGGAATTATCGCAAAGGTGATGACTATGACACATCTCTGAGCATACCGATAACTAGTTTCAACACAATATGTAGACTTCGATATCGGATAGAGTTGGAGTTAGGTGTTCCTTGTTTACTCTTCGGGGTAAGATAAATTCGGCATTTTACGTAACAGGTCAAATGTGTAACAAAAAAGACAAATTCACATTCGATCGTTTCTCTGCCTTACTGCCCACCAGTGACTCAAATTTAAAGATATCACGTCAAGGTTAAGCTCCAAAATGGTAATGGTTGGCATAAAATAATATGCCTTACCTTATATGCCTTATCTAGACCATACAACATCGCCGCTCCGTTTCGCATGCCGTAGAACCTGATCACCACAGGTAGTTGAGGAGCTCTTGAAACAATAAAGAAAGGAACGTACATTCACTTTTTGTTCAGAACCCTAATATTTGTATCAAACGAACGCTGGGTCAATGTATTCGTTTGGAAATTTATAACAATACTTTCCTATTCAACTGATCTATTTATGCCGTTTCGTTCTTACACAGGTATCGCCAACTTAACCTGCTCAAATTTATGGCCTTATGCAGACAAACCGTCAGGCCAGCGGCTAGCTATTGTAGTTACGATTCTGTTTACCGGCGCTGATCATAACGAACGCGTGCCATTGTTATTTCGTTTGAGACCAGTATTGCCCCTGACCGATCTCCGTGCTTTCTTACTAAACTACAAAATACGTGGTGGTTTAGGTTCGGATGCGAACGTAGACACATTTCGCTTCGGGCTGGGATCCAGACCCCTGAAGCAATGCTTAATGGCTTGCGTACTGGACGTTAAATTCCAAAAATTTTTTTGGTATGGCCACTGTCGCTAATTCTGCCGCTGTCATTGCTTGGGTGATTGCCCTTACGATTGTCACTGTTTGTTACCACTGCTATTGTTGCTGAAGTACTGATAGTTGTAGTCATTGCTTTGAGTGGTATCGCGCGGCGGGCTGCAAATAAAAAAAACGTCGCGGCGACCTTTGCCTTTGAAGCTCTTTTTGCTGTTCAACAACCCTGGCCACACAATCGTTGTCGCTGATCCAGGTGGTCCCATGATAAGAAGGTAGCTGCTGCTTCTTGACAACCGGTTCAATCCTTACCCTTGCCCTAGCACCGCACTGCCCGAGCACTGTAGCCGTATGCTGGTAGTATCCCATCCTACCGCTGGGTGAAACTGCTGCTGCTGGAGAACCACGGGGACAGACAGCTCCATAGCGTCGTAGCGGTCCTGCCACTGAGCCAGGAACGGCGGAGGTAACACTAGTGAAGGTACAGGGTGCGATCATCTGGACGGGGCTGAGAGGCATTATGCTTCATAGTCCTCCTCGCAAGATGAGACCCCAGAGCAGGCGCACGCACACACGTATACCATAAAGATAGACACACATACAGACATGCTGCCGGGTAATGCCACAAGTGCGGCTAGAAAAATTAAGTCATCCTCGCCTGCCCCTCTCGCTGACCTGGTGATATACACGCACACATATGCGCGAGTGTGTGTGTGCGCTTTTTATCTTCACCATAGAGCAGAAGAAATATTGCGCCAACTATCAACTGTGCGTCTGTAGGACATCTCCTTTCTTTTTCTTTCAGATTTCAGACTTTCTGCTATTCCCCCCCCCCCATAACCATCAGTCTATATTTCCTCTTCTTCCACCTGCGCTCGCTCCGTTACATTTGCCCTTACCACCCCTTGCTACCGGTCACTTGCGTGATGGTACGTCTCGCCGGATGCATCCTACCACCCTTGCTGGTATAACCGTAACCCCACGTTTCTCCTCTATAAAACGGGGCGTACAAAAAGCCCCGGTAGTCCGCGAGCCGTCGGGCCACGCGATTTGGACGCCCGAACAAAATTCCTTTACTCACTAGCCCAGTTTGAGTGGGCTAAATAACCAGGTGCTTGTGTGCGTGCCACTTGGGTGTCCTTTATCGGACACCTGAGGACCGGTCCCCCGGCAGCAGTAGTTGCGGGGAGCAACCCTAATCTACAACTCCCCCTGGAATATTTTTAAAAATTGATGGTTGATATGTTGTGACTGAGCAAAAATATCGGTTGTTGCGACAACGAGCTGAGCGACCCCAGTGAAGAGTAAAGAGCGAACTGTGCAGCATTAAGAATTACAAGGATTATAGTTACTGCTTCGAGGATCATAATCAGGCGTGGATTACTACAAGACTGTTCGTACGGTTGGTCCGCGATATTAGCATCACAATCACAGCCTGTCTGCCTACCGCAGTCGCCATGAGACCCGTGAGTACACTATTCACCTTCGCTCAATTTTCATTCAGTCACATAATGATGTCATAAATCCATGTCTAGAAGGATGGTCATACGCCTTTTTATTCTTCTTTCTCTTACAAGGACCGTTTGTGCATGTTCACTCAACCTGTGTAATAGAAATTTGGTCCTTGACAGATGTCCTGAGAACAACGGGTCATGTGTATTATGTGTTCTCAAAGGAATTTATGTCCTATTTACAACACATACGATAGATATTTTTTGCAACGTGTTCGTATGCGTCTCAACATACGCGCCCCAAATAAATACACTGTGTTTGAGCATTTGACACAAATCTTTGAACCTACTATCGGATTCTCGCATACTTTAAAGTAGTTACAAAATGTAATGTTCCTATTGAGATACATGAGCGCATGCGTTGGTGGCCATTTACTATAGAGGTTAGCGGTGTTTATTTGATGAACGCACTTCATAAATTCAACTTAATAATTTAAAAGGAGAACTTAAAAGGGGCCATATATATCATTTACATACCTTAAAGACTTATGTTTCGTTTTTCCGTTCCACGACTTATTATTTGTCACTTCACAACAAATTGTGCTGGAAGAAATACTATACCTACGATTTTATACAATGATATATTACACACAGTAACATAGGAACACCTATAAGCCATATAAGACAGTCATCTTTTTGGAGGTAGGCGCAGGGACTTTTAGTATATATATATATATATATATATCTTCGCATACTGACCAAGATTAGCAAATCATGTGAGTCCGGTAACAACTGAACAACTTTTAAAGACTTTGATGTCATATAGAAGTATATTAATTTACATGCTATTTAGCTCTGAACGTTACGCTGGCGCTAGCGATTTCTGCCTGATTTAATAGTCGGGCGTATTTCGGCATGTTTACGAACACAGAACGATCAGACAGACGATGCGTTCTCTAATTTGCGCTGTCATATTACTCTATTTGCTCTGATTGTTTTTCCAACCTTCCAATGCGACAATCGGCGCTATTGGATGTTAACCCAGTGCTGTTTCTGATGATGTAGAAAACATGTTATCGAGTTTGTTTTGGTCTGCGCTAAGACGAGGGACTCAGTGAACATATCTCATTCATTTTTGCGAATGCTGTCCTTTATAGCTTTAGCCGCTGAGCTTTTGTCAGTTAGATTCTGTGTATATCTCCGGGAAGCATACATCAACATGAGAAAGCGAAAGGGCTCAAGAGAGGCCTAAAAAATAGAAATATCGTTGGCAAATGTTGATCCTTAAGATAAATGAATCAACCAATGGCAGACAGAACATAGAGCAGACCCGTCAGTTAGCTGTCTACCGTCGTTATGACCGCTGGTCAGCCCATTTTCAAGCTAAATAATTAAGAAGCATATACACGTAGTATATATATATATATATATATATATTGTGTGTACGTTGACAAACAAAAGCGAACACAATTCACTTTACTGCTTTTACAATTCGATTGTCTGCTGCACGCCTTCCTAAAATCGTCTTCAGCTCCTTTACCTTGACACCAGAACGCATTCGCCCTCTCCGAGATAATAACACAAGACAAAGCTTTAATAACACAGCATTAGCTAGAACAGTAGCTATAACCACAAAGCTAAATGCATACGTTGTCGGCACGCTCAGTTTACCCACCCCATTATAAAAGTATTTAATCCGAGGCTGTTCTGTCACGTCCAGTCGGTCTGATGTCGTGGCATCAATTGCAATAGACATCTTTCCATGAAGCGAAGAAGTAATCTTTGTGATTCTGCTATCGTCCAGGATTGTTGGGCCATTCATTAGGTCAATTGTCAATAGCACACTGATCCCATTTCGATAATCCCATGCTTTAAGGGGATCTGCAAGGAAGGCATACATAAACAAACATATTAATTCCAGCCCCTGTAGCCTTGCAGTGTTTCGTATCTGTATGCGTATATACCTCTAAACGAGTAAAAATTTATACCGCTAAAACGTCAGCAACCATTGGAGGCATGTGTTGACAAGAATATACTATGCTCAAGACGATGTGTCTACAAAAACTGCCTCGATTACAGAGAACAATTATGACTTTTTCAATAGACCTTGGCGCTGCTGAACTTCGTCGTAAACACACTGGATAGCTTCAACAGAAAACAGGAACTTAAGCCAGGACACTGACGTCCTGGGCAGGGTATGATAAACTTTAGTAAAATAAACCGTATGCAGTAAGTCTCTAGGAAAGCCGCTAAAACAAGAAATGATAGGCGGTATCATAAAGAATACAGAACGCCAAATTAGTTCACATACATCTTCCTTGCTTTTTACTTGTATCCTCACCTTAATGTGTCGCTGTATGCCGACGTAACGTTGCAATGCACATGTTTCTACAATTCATGTGTGTCATCTGTGGGTTTACTAAGAAAACGTGTCAAGCATTGTTATATCATAAAACGCTTACAATATTTTTTTTCATTATTATATCTTTTAAGAGCACAGTAATGTACTCTCTTCTGCTACGGCTACTATTGGTCTCATATATGCGACAAGTGTTTGTCTTTGAAATACATCCCTACCTGCCACCCCTGTATGGTCAATGGCAGCTCCTCTCATTGTCGTTTGCTACTGCTAGCTTTATTCTCCAAATCAGCGCAGTAATAGAAGCTATTACATAGCGATGTTTGTTTTTTGTTGATATTTTTCCGTGCCCTCTTCTTCTCCCGTCCTCTTCACTCTATCCCACTGCTCAAGGTAAAAGCACTAACACCGTAGCGACGATGGCTGTAACAGCAACGCTATGATTGTCCTCCACGCATGACGCGTTCCCGAAGCCAGCAAAACGCCGTTTGGCGATCAACGCTCTGCATGAAGGCAACCTGCTGAATTGACTTCCTCCTCGTCTTTGGATATCCAACAAAAGGGGGCCGTTTTTCTCCCTGTTGCAATTCCCAGTAGCAGCAATAACGGCAACGTATAGGGCAAAGGCAACAACGCTCCTGCGGGACGTTTTTCGAATCATCATTGCTCCAGTAGGCAAATTCTTGCGTGGCGCTTCTGCAATTTCTGCCCAGTCGCTGGACCAACCCCACCACTTCAGTCACCGCTGGCCACCGCCACCGTCCGCTTGTAGCATCTTTCTAAAGCAACGCCGCTGTGTTGCTGTGGTTAGTATAACCTTCTTTTCACAGCGTCAGCAACGGTCTCGACGTTGCGCAGCTTCAGTGGCGTTTAGGAGTGTGATTATTCTTTCAAGAACAGCTGCAGAAGCGGCAACGGCACTGGAAGCAATGAAAGAACTTACATACAGTCAGCGTGATAATAGTTGTTGTTGTTGTGTTTATTGATGATGTCGTTATCAATGTCATTTACCCACACGGTCCCATAGGCCTGCATTGGCGATGAGCACGCTTTGGAAAGGTCTGTACGTAGGAGACCTGCCAATGTACAAGCTGCGTTGTTCATGATTCTGATGTCTGAGCTAAATTGATTTGCTTCTCAAAGAAAAATGTTCTCGAAGAGGTCGCCGACTCAGACCCGTTGATTTCAGTCAGCTTTCTAATGATTTCTTGCAAGCAATGACAATGGGTTAAATCATACTCGTTTATTAGTGGTAATACCTAGAGAACAGACCAAATCTATTTCCGAAAAGCTAATAAGCTTGTTCCCTATTCTACTCAAGAGCTTGTACCGATAGTTATGAAGACGTCCAATATTATAATGGACGCTGTAAAAAAAAAAAAGTCAAAATCTAGCCATACCTAACATATACGTTGACAGCTGATAAAGCCCACCTGAACTTCCTCTATGCATACAATCTATAATTGTTAATTCAGCAACGTCATGAATAAACTTCTCTACCACTGTGCGAAATACCTCTTGTGGGCAGAGAAGGCAAGGGCATGACAACCTATTGGCTGTTATCGATTTGTCTCGCTTATTCCAGCCATTTTATAGATACTGTAAGCTTCTTCAGTCGTAAACGTTCCTGGGCAAATGAACGTTTGTCAGTGCACGACCTGTGCTTCGATTGTACGCATCACAATAGCATCATAAAAGTGCTAATCAAAGTAGGTTTGATTCAGTTAAATTATTGCCCATTGCCTCAAAAAGCAATCATGAGCTAAAAAGATGGCGGCAGATAGATATTAAATAAACATTCGCAAATGACAATATTTATAGATCCTGGTTGAAAAGAGAGCCCTGTATGGGATAGTAGCATTCATCAAATTAAAGCATGTTGGTAGCCCAGCCAACATCCCGCCCGCTACAGGACACACATGATCTGCAAAGGAGTATAAGTCTTAAAGCCAACCCTATTGCCTTGAAGCTGCGCTAAACGCTTTTATAGTACACGTGCCAGCTAAAAATATGCTCGAAAAATTTTGCAGTCCCTGGTGACTATGGTAAAGGCTTCATTTGCGAACCATTCTTTAGTCGACAGGTGGCGGGAAGCGGTACCTTCGGCAATAACAGGTAACATTATGCTGTTTTTGCTTCAAGCATCTTTAAATTCTAATGTTTCCTAATCAATGAAAGAAGAGTTTCCTGTTATCGTATTCAGATAACGGACGGCCGTACGCAAAGGTAAAAACTTTGTTTTCTGCTAAATTAAGGTAACTAAAACCGTATATTAACTGATAGCTAAATGTATTTCTATAAGAAGTGCCATAAGCTATAAAGTAATGGGTTTCTAACGACGAGCGCGAAAATCAAAATGCAGTACTTTACAGCCCTTGGACTGCGTAACGGTAACGGCCACTGTTATCACTGAGAAAAAAAGGCGGGTACAATTTAGCAAATACCGCGCACGTAATTTCAATACGGATTACTATCTTTTTTTAGACCAGTCGAAGTTTCATCCTTGAGGGTCAACTAGGATAGCAACATTCTGCATGGAATCGTGAAGACTATTGCGATTGCACGGTTTCCAGATGCCTGAAAAGTGTCTGGAGACGCGTGCTGTATAGACGGCGAAAAAACAAAAATAAAAAAGGAGTGATATTGTAGAAGTGGG